CTGATATGATTGACGTCAAACCGGAATACGTATTATCTCCTGCTACGGTATGATTGATCCTAATGATCTGCGCCCTCTTGTACGATATGATTGACGATCGACGATCTGCTGCCCTCTGGCTGGCTATGATTGACGATCAAACAATCTGCGTACCGCCCTCTTGCTACGATATTGGTGAACATCAAAACAGACTACGTACCGTACCGGTGACGTCAATGATCATTACGGACGTCAAACGATCTGCGTACCGTATCTTGGCTACGGTTGATTGATCCAACGATCTGCGTACCATTCCTTCCTGTGTTTATCCATCCTTCCATTTATCCATGTCCCTTCCCCTTCCTTCTGTGTTTATCCTTCCTTCCACCCTTCCATTTATCCAACCATCCACCCTTCCATTATTTATCCATGTCCTTCCATTGTTTATCCATGTCCTTCCTTCCATCTATGCCCCTCCTTCTGGTCCCTTTCCATCCCTCATTCCTCTTCCTGTGTCTACCCTTTCTTTAATCCATACCACCCTACTGTGTTTATCCATGTCCACTACCACCCCTCTTTCAAGGTTTATCCATTTCTGTCCATGCCCCTCCTTCCTGTGTGTCCATTTAATCTACCACCCCCTCTATTTCCTTCTGTGTTCCATCCATGTCTACATACCCCTCTTCTTCCATGTCCTTCTTTTCCTTTCTGTGTCCATTCTTTCCTCTCCTACCTTCAGTGTTGTCCATTTAATCTGCATACCACCCCTCCTTCATGTGTTTGTCCAGTAATCCATACCCCTCTATTTCCTTCTTGTGTTTATCCATTTCATTCCTCTGTGCTTTCCTTGTGTTTATCCATCCATCTTCCTTATTTGTGTCCATGTCCACCCCTCTTCCTTCCTGTTGTCCATTTAATCCTTCCTTTTTCCTTCTGTGTTTGTCCTTGGCAATCTACCTTCACCCTCTTTATTTCTGTTGTTGTCCCGGCAGTCTGCATACCCTCTTTCTTTTCCTGTGTTTATCCAGCCACTTCCTTTTCCGGTGTTTGTCGGCAGTCCTGCATGCCGCCCCGTTGTTGTCAAGTCTGCATGCCATGTGTCCATGTCTGTCCTCTCTTCCGTGGTCTCCATGTCTGCATGCCCTTCTCCTGGGTGGTGTCCTTCCGGCCATTTGTCCTGGTGTGTCCGCATGTCCTGTGTGGCTGCATGCCACTGCTGTGCTGTGTGTGTCCATGTCCTGTTGTCCATGCGTCCGCCCACTCGTGTTTGGCTGTGGTCCACTGTGTTTGTCCACGTGATCATGCCTGTCTGTGGCTGTTGATCTGTCCTCCTGCCGGTGTTGTCCGGCAATCTGCATGTCCCTCTCTTCCGTGTCTGCCCTCTCACGTCCAGGCAATCTGCATGCGCCCTCTGTGGCCGGTGTTTGATCCGGCGGTCTTCTCACGGCCGGTGTTTGTCCGGCAGATCGTCCGTGTCCAGTCTGCATGCCGGCCCTCTTCGTCCAGTCTGCATGCCCTCTTCGGTTGTCCCGGTCTGTCAATGCCCTCTTGATTGACGTCCGGTCTGTGGTCCGGCTGTGGATCCAATGATCTGCATGCCGCCCTCTCTTTGCTGTGGTGTTTATCCGGCTACATGCCCTGCTGGCTGTGGTGTTGTCCGTCCATGATCCGGCAATCTGCGTGCCGGTCCGGGTGTTTGATCCGGATACCGGTCGTAGATCCGGTCATGGGGACATCCCGGCAATCTGTCGATCCATACCTTGTCTGCATCCATGTCTGCATACCCGGTCACATGCCGGCAATCATACCGCCCTCTTCCATGCCGGTGGCATCCGGCAGTCCGCATACCGCCGGTCATCCGGCAATCTGCATGCCCTCTTTGCGGCTGCCGGACGTCCACCGATCCATGCCCTCTGGCGCCGGTCATCCCGGCAATCTTCGATCACGGTCAATGATCGATCATCCTTGTCTGCATACCATCTCTTCCGGTCATCTGTCGGTCCGGTCATCCGGCAATCCATGCCCTCTTTACGGCTGCCGGTCCATCCGGCAATCTGCATGCCGGCCCTCTCCTCCATGCCGGTCATCCGGCAATCATGCCCTCTCTTTGCTGCGGCTGTCGGTCTGTCCCGGCAGATGCCGTACGGCCCTCTCTTGCTACCGGTCATCCCGACGATCTGCGTCGATGATCTGCGTATTGATCGATCTGCATGTCAGCCCTCTGCATGGCATACGGCTGCGGTGACATCCCGGCAATCTGCATGCAACCCTCTCTTGCTACAGCTGCCAGTCACATCCCGGCTCGGTACCGCATACCGCCCTCTCTTGCTACTGGCTGCCAGTCCACATCCCGGCAATCTGCGTAAGCCCCTCTTCTTGCTGCAGCTGCCAGTTGACATCAGCAATCTGCATACCGCCCTCTTGCCAGTGACATCCCAGCAATCTGCATACCGCCCCTCTCTTGCTACAGCTGCCAGTCACATCCCAGCAATCTGCATACCGCCCCTCTCTTGCTACAGCTGCCAGTGACATCCCAGCAATCTGCATACCGCCCCTCTCTTGCTACAGCTGCCAGTGACATCCCAGCAATCTGCATACCGCCCCTCTCTAGCTACAGCTGCCAGTGACATCCCAGCAATCTGCATCACATCCCTCTCTCTGCTACAGCTGCTACAGCTGCCAGTCACATCCCAGCAATCTGCATACCGCCCCTCTCTTGCTACAGCTGCCAGTGACATCCCAGCAATCTGCATACCGCCCCTCTCTTGCTACAGCTGCCAGTGACATCCCAGCAATCTGCATACCGCCCCTCTCTTGCTACAGCTGCCAGTGACATCCAGCAATCTGCAATGACATCCCAGCAATCTGCATACAGCCCCTCTCTGCATGCTACAGCTGCCAGTGACATCCCAGCAATCTGCATACCGCCCTCTCTTGCTACAGCTGCCAGTGACATCCCAGCAATCTGCATACCGCGCCTCTCTACAGCTGCTACAGCAATCCTGCCAGTGACATCCCAGCAATCTGCATACCGCCCCTCTCTTGCTACAGCTGCCAGTGACATCCCAGCAATCTGCATACCGCCCCTCTCTTGCTACAGCTGCCAGTCACATCCCAGCAATCTGCATACCGCCCCTCTCTTGCTACAGCTGCCAGTGACATCCCAGCAATCTGCATACCGCCCCTCTCTTGCTACAGCTGCCAGTGACATCCCAGCAATCTGCATACCGCCCCTCTCTTGCTACAGCTGCCAGTGACATCCCAGCAATCTGCATACCGCCAGTGACATCCCAGCCCTCTGACATCCCAGCAATCTGCATCACAGCCGCTCTCTTGCTACAGTGACATCCCAGCAATCTGCAGCCCTCTCTGCTACAGTGCCAGTCACATCCCAGCAATCTGCATACCGCCCCTCTCTAGCTACAGCTGCCAGTGACATCCCAGCAATCTGCATACCGCCCCTCTCTTGCTACAGCTGCCAGTCACATCCCAGCAATCTGCATACCGCCCCTCTCTTGCTACAGCTGCCAGTCACATCCCAGCAATCTGCATACCTGCCCTTCTCTCTTTACTACAGCTGCCAGTCACATCCCAGCAATCTGCATACCGCCTTCTTCTACAGCTGCCAGTGACATCCCTGCTACAGCTGCCAGTGACATCCCAGCAATCTGCATACCAATAACATGCCATCTTCAAGCAGTTGTCAGTTGAGGACCCATACCCTTGCTTATGAACAACAAAATCTCTTTATTGAATGAACAGGTTACTGAAACTTGCTATTTGCTTAATGACAAGTAAACGTATTGCACGTGATGCTCGCCTTTAATCGTAACGTGCATATCTAAAATCAAAAGGGTCAAAATAATCACACAAACATAATTATGACATGATATCCCAACACGAGCTGAATTCGACGTTCTGGTGATTTCGATGATTACATTGCACGCGCTATATCGGGTGAGTATATGTGCGATCGGAGTGCACAAACAGTTTCACTGGTAGGGCGGGTGCCAAGTCGCTATCGTGAGAAGTTTTATTGACAATGGAAATCGGGAAGTAAAGTTATATAAAAAGCAAACAAACATCAATATTATTTACCCGAGATCGTTAATACCACTTACGATGCAAAATCAGTTCCCTTTATAACAAAAAATAGCAAGCGAAAATTCAGTTAGATCAGTCGTCTGCTGGTGACAGGCAATATATAAATAGGAAGCCACGTGATCACAACACTCCCTCGCAGTGCGGAGCAAAAAGTATTGCTCATCGTCGAAAACCCATACAAAATACCCGGATGTTACGGGCGACACAGTTTCGCCGATACGATTTCATCAACTCTATTTTTGTAGGGAACACTTGCTATTTTGTGTGAAATAGATGAATATGTCCTTTATCACTCGAGGTTAGTAAAATAAAAACTTTAAATGATTTTACAGATAAAAAATATGTTTTTGTCTTACATCGTCGAAAACCCCTGACACCGGGATATATGGCATCAAATTCATAGGTGTTGTGATTTATTTGCCCCTGAGTATAGTTCATGAATGTGTTGTGTGTAGCGACATGTGATCAGCATTCAGGACAGAGTTTGGGATTGTGGAAAGGGTCAAGTGGTGAGGAATGCCATCTTGGTCGAGTTCCTTTATCGAGGAATCATGGAAATGTTTTAGTAAGGTTAATCATTTCTGAATCAGGCATAAATATGATGACTATAAAAGCAATGAGAACATTAGTGCCTACCATGTTTTTGACTATTTGTTTGGGTGGAAGAAACGTTTATGATTTGTACTTGTGATTACAATCGTGAAAACATGAGTTTAGGAGTACAAGCAAGGACTGTCACAAATATAAAGTATTTAATGTATATTTTTGATTGAACAGTAATTCTCTCTCAGTTTGATCCTGGAGGAATGTGATGCAGGTCTCAGGTGTACAACACCTTGGTGAAACCCATGGGCTACCATGCTGACACACCTGGAACAAAGTGGAATTCTCTCAAAAAATGTTTACAACAAATAAAGGACTTGATAATCATTTTATTTAACCTTATCCACATGTTATATTGCTCCAGTTGGCAGCTCATCTTTCTACCATCGATTTCCCTTCTTCCTCTTCTTCTTGTTGGCCTGAGCTGGCTTCTGCTGCCTGGGCCCGTCCGTGCCCCCCGAAGCCCCTGTGGTGCTTGCTGAGGGGAGGTGGGTTGCCCAGGGCGGGGGGAACTAGCAGCGCTGCCGGTAGGGGACTTGCCCATATCCCTACAGAACATAGCAGTGACTCTTATACACCACAGAATTGAATCAATTAAAATTATACCTGGTGCACAAATTGTATCACAGATTCAGGGCAGGTGGATGGTTTAGCTTGGGGATGCAGCATGCAACCCTATTTTTTAAGCATGTTAGAAATTACCTTGTTTTAAATTATACTGTCAACAAAATAAAATGACAAAAAGCATGAATTGCTAATTACAAAATGAACCTCTACTTTCTCTGGTAACTAAATCTACTGTGGAACTAGGCTCATGGTATGTAAATTTAGATCAGATAATTGGAGCGTCTAGTTTTTAAGTCAGACTAATCTTGAACGATTCCAGATCATGAAATGGCCCCCCGGTCAGGCCTCCTAGTCAACACATCTGTCAACAGATGGCCTCCCTGTCCCACAGATCTGTCAGGAGACAGCCTCCCAGTCCCCCTGATCTGTCAGGAGATGGCCTCCCTGTCCCACAGATCTGTCAGGAGATGGCCTCCCAGTCCCCAGATATGTCAGGAGATGGCCTCCCAGTCCCCCAGATCTGTCAGGAGATGGCCTCCCAGTCCCACAGATCTGTCAGGAGATGGCCTCCCAGTCCCCCAGATCTGTCAGGAGATGGCCTCCCAGTCCCACAGATCTGTCAGGAGACGGCCTCCCAGTCCCCCTGATCTGTCAGGAGATGGCCTCCCAGTCCCACAGATCTGTCAGGAGATGGCCTCCCAGTCCCTCATATGTCAGGAGATGGCCTCCCAGTCCCCAGATCTGTCAGGAGATGGCCTCCCAGTCCCACAGATATGTCAGGAGATGGCCTCCCAGTCCCCAGATCTGTCAGGAGATGGCCTCCCAGTCCCCTCCTAGACTGTCAGGGAGATGGCCTCCCAGTCCCCCAGATCTGTCAGGAGATGGCCTCCCTGTCCCACAGATCTGTCAGGAGACGGCCTCCCAGTCCCCCAGATCTGTCAGGAGATGGCCTCCCAGTCCCACAGATCTGTCAGGAGATGGCCTCCCAGTCCCCCAGATCTGTCAGGAGATGGCCTCCCAGTCCCACAGATCTGTCAGGAGACGGCCTCCCAGTCCCCCAGATCTGTCAGGAGACAGCCTTCCGACGGCCTCCTAGACTGTCAGCCATACCAGTCCTACAGATCTGTCAAATGGCCTCCCACACCCTACTAGACCCTACTAGACTGCCTGTTTCTGCCAAGCACCTGTCCCGTCCCGACGTTTCAGCAGTACTCACATGTCAGCAGCAGCTCCTGTTGTCGCCCCCTGAGTTCCTTTACCTGGACACAAAGGAGGAGACGTGATACAAAACAACCAGAGAATGCATTGACACAAACTGATTTTGATTCTGATGTGTGTTTTTTCCTGCAACATTGAGCCATATTCCAGGCAAGTCTGCAATCAGGACCAGACAATCCATTCCACTGTGACACACTAACAACCATGTCACCAAGTCTAACCACTCAAGTCATTTGTTCACCCCTTGGGACCATCATAGGCTATTAGGAACCTATTCTAACAATCCACAAGTGATTCTGATGCTTCTGTACTGTAAAGGACCAACCATTTAATATTCTGGGCTCTGGCAAAATTTGTATTATTCTTTGGCTTTGACCATGTTGTAAAACCTGAGAATAACATTTGTATTTTGAAGCCCCTACCACACACTATCAAGTGGTTAGCCTGTCAAGGGTGGAATTTCTTCTGATATAGCAATCTTTGTTTGTGGATTAAGGTTTCCTTCAGATAAAAATGCAGTGAGACGTTGTTTATACACTGCATGCTCTGGCAGGGACCTAAGGGTGATTTCACGTGGGGGAGAGTCGGGTGACTACACGTGGGGGAGAGGAGGGTGATACATGTGGGGAGAGTAGGTGGGGGAGGGAGGGTGATTACATGTGGGGGAGGGGAGGGTGATTACACGTGGGGGAGAGTAGGCAGACTTACCAATATCCTTCCTCTTGTCTTTCCTCTTCCCACGGTAGTATGATCTCTCGCGTTTCGGCAACCAGCGCTCGGGGTCAAGGTCAGCAGCTGAGTCAATGTTCTTTGGCAGTTTACCTGATACAGAGAAAACATGACAGCTCAGAACAGAATCACAGAAATTGAATCTGGGGTATGTAATATATTTTACAAGCATTACTGCTAGTTCCATGTGCTGTGACTCTGCTCTCACTGAAGCTGAGGGGGAGACACATCAAGTTTCAGCATGAAAATATAGATCAAGATTTTCATAAAATTAAAACATAACTGTCAAACAACACAAATGTTAACACATTAATTACTGATAGAGAAACTCTGTGAACAATTCATGGAAAAATTTCCTGTGTGATAACAGTTGGTATGCCCATTGGAAGTGGGAATATAAGTTGTACCCACCCTTCTTCTTCTTTCTCTTCTTCTTCTGTATGAGAGCATCTCCAGACCTGAGAGAGAAAGTCACATGTTGTAACAATCTAGCCAACCAATCCGACTCCTGGCAGGAGAGATCCGAGTTACATATAGACAAAATATGGTGCAGAAGAGTCAGGGACCGTGATGGTTACAACTTGAGGGATATCTATATCACATCATGGAGTATTAAATGTTTCTGGATAAGTTTATCACTGAATTGTAGGATGAGACATTCAGTTGAGACTGAAGAAATGATCCCCACAGGGGTACAATACTCTGTATATATATTTCACTTCTCTTCCCAATCAACTAACAGAGATGTACGATGGGCCTAAGCCTTCATCACTATACCCAAACCGATTTCCTCACTACATCACCCAAACAAATCCCCATCTCAAAGAACCTATAATCATGCACAATACAAAATGGAAGGCATCCAATGATCTAAACGCACCTTGATCACCATGAAACAAAGAAGTGACATGATAAAGACTGCAAAGGGAGATAATCTATTGATTGTAAAATGAAGACCATACAGAAAAATGGCTGAATAAGAACTTTAGAGAGTGTACCCACCCTCCTGGGGATGCCTCGGACTTGACCGTCTTCTTCATGTATTTAGGTCCGAGTGTACTGAAGGCCGCCTCCAAGGCATCAACATCGACACTCTGCGCGATCTCCTCCACTGGCGGCAAGTCTTTGCTCACTCTGACATGCGTTAAGGGGTACATATTTTGTCTAACAGTTTGCTGCCTTCAAGTTTGTTGCCTGATATAATTCTGTGATACACTGCTGCAAAGAATGGTGATAAACCTGGTATGATGATGGTAAGTGCTGTATCTGCTTCATTTTAACTAATGTTCCTTTCTTTCCATGAACAGATGGAACAATAAACCCTTCTTAATCTCAGTTTCCTGTAACGACAACAACTGCATGATATGGAACCACAGCTACATCCTGATGAACTACTTGTACACAGACATAATTTGTACCTAATCTACATCAACATAAAGTATCATAACAAATTTACAAGAAGGAACTGAGTCAAGGTGTTCTGAAACCATCTGCAATGATGATGATGATGATGATGATGATGATGGTGATGACAACGACGATAAAAAGTATTGCTTTGTTATTGATGTGATGTCTTCCACATTACCACTTTGGTGAACCACATGAACATAACTTAGAAACGTTATCAGGCAATAACTCGGTGATTCAGGGCCAAAACGACTAAGGGCAACAACTGGTGTGAGGAAGGATACTGTTGAGCCTTGGCCTGATTGAACTGGGAGTATGCAGAGATGAGCTGTGCCAACACACGTGGATCATTCGGACTCGATCTGTAGAGGAAGAATTAGAGTGAGTATTTATCTGGCATTAAGGGTGTTGACACTGGACACTGTGTGCCATCCTTCAGATGTTGTTCAACAATCTGTGTTTGAAGATCAAGACACCGGGTGTCGACATCCATGTCTTAGTGTGCCATGCTTCAGATGTTCAATCATCTGGATTTGAGGATGACGACACCAGACACCGGGTGTCGACATCCATGTCTTAGTGTGCCATGCTTCAGATGTTCAATCATCTGGATTTGAGGATGACGACACCAGACACCGGGTGTCGACATCCATGTCTTAGTGTGCCATGCTTCAGATGTTCAATCATCTGGATTTGAGGATGACGACACCAGACACCGGGTGTCGACATCCATGTCTTAGTGTGCCATGCTTCATGTTGTTTAATCGAATTGATCTGAAGCCTTGGACTGCTGTAGGTCTCTGTTAAGGTACTGAGTACTGATTATGCTAACGCTAAGATATTGTGATTGACCAACATCATAAACACTGCATGTTCAATATTTTAACAAACATTTCATTTTTGACACACTGGAAACCAAGAGGTGTTGCAAATTTATATTGTTTATGATACAGTTTCGGAGGTGACGGTGCTTAGAAAGTTTCATGAAGCAGTCACATATTTCTTAATGGCCTCTAATTGTACCTTGGGTGATCATAGCACATGTCTTTCTTGAAACTATCAGATCATAACTTACTTGCGAAGATCCTCCAACATCTTGGCTGCCTGCTCAGCATTGCCATTTTTCAGTTCAAAGTTGGAGGCAGCTCGGGTCACGGTCAAGAGGTCAGCAGACTTGGGCTGCAAGGAGATATTAGCTGGCATGATAACATACAATGCTGATTATCCACCCACCCAATTTTATTCTATGTCAGTATTTCTACCTCTCAGCATATCTCTCAACAAGCACAGAATCAAAATCAAGAAGCTTTCTTGAACTGTCACATTACTTCACTTCCCTTTTTGCAATTGTAAACACAGTCGATACAGCAATTACAGCAACACCAGCAAGTTGTGAGTTAGACATTGTAAATGTACACAAGAATTGTAACATCATCAGTTATAAATCAATACTGTCAGCAGCTTCACACCAATGCCATGATGACAGCAAATATTTTACTGTTGAATGTGATTTGCTGTTATATTTTAAGCTTTAGTTTCATATGAGTGGCATTGTTTAACTACACACTGATGGAATGTCTATTTTTGAGACTTTTTTTGATGTTGAAGTCCAGTTTTATAAGATTTTGTAAGTTTATGGATTGCTGTGATATTCAGTTTCTATAATTAATTTGTTATATAAAACAATACAAATGAAAGTTAAGTATTTTTTCTGCATTTCTTTGATTTCGTTTATTTTGCAATAGCGATAATGTTGTGCCCGCCTTTACTAGAAACATGAAACAACCTTGGAGGAAGGTGTCCAGTAAATTGCATGTGTATCATGCTGGGACTCTGGAGGGCGAGATCACCACGAACTACTGACCTCGTTCTTCTTGTACCAAGCCACAGCTTTGATGAGGACCTCGGAGGCAGCATCCTTGTCTTCCTGGCTGAGGTACAACGTCACCAGAGCAGACACCTACAACACCATTTCGCAACATGTACCACTACACTAAACAATGTAACTATTGTAATATGTCTACTTTATGCTAGAGGTCCTGAATGACAGGTCTGGGTTACCATGATCCTGTCCAAAGCATTGCCTTGATGATGTTAAACAGAACACGATGAAGGCTTGGGTGAAAATTACGACAGTTAAATCAATAAGTATACAGGTATATGTTCATCTCAAATACATAAAGTACAATATTTCTTCTACTGATTAGTCTGTTAATTGTTTAATGCCATATTCAAAAAGGCTGTAAATTTGTGAGAATGGACCAGATAATCCAGTGATCGACATTGTGAACAACAATCGACATCGTCAGGGTACAGGGACAATCAGCTAACTAAGGCACCATGTCGGACTGACACATCCTTTTGATCCAGCATTGCTTGCTGGGTACCTATTGTTAGCAGGAATTGGACCTTCATGTGTTCATGTATATGACAGTAGTATGACTAACTATGCCTGGTCTGTAGGTGATGTCTCCGAGAGTCTTGAGGGCATCACACGCCTGGTACACCGCGCCCTGACTCAGGTACAGCTGGGCAATCACCAGCTGAATACTGAAGCACTGGTCAGGGTGGGACTTGACGTACGTCTGCAACACAAACATCAGCCAGGACATCATGTTGGGTAATATCAGTTAGGACATCCTGTTGGGTAATATCAGTTAGGATATCATGTTGGGTAATATCAGTTAGGACATCATGTGGGGTAGTATCAGTTAGGACATCATGTAGGGTAATATCGGTTAGGACATCATGTAGGGATATATCAGTTAGGACATCATGTTGGGTAATATCAGTTAGGATATCATGTTGGGTAATATCAGTTAGGACATCATGTAGGGTAATATCAGTTAGGACATCATGTAGGGTAATATTAGTTAGGACATCATGTAGGGAAATATCAGTTAGGACATCATGTTGGGTAATATCAGTTAGGATATCATGTTGGGTAATATCAGTTAGGACATCATGTAGGGTAATATCAGTTAGGATATCATGTAGGGTAATATCAGTTAGGACATCATGTTGGGTAATATCAGTTAGGACATCATGTAGGGTAATATCGGTTAGGACATCATGTAGGGATATATCAGTTAGGACATCATGTAGGGTAATATCGGTTAGGACATCATGTAGGGATATATCAGTTAGGACATCATGTTGGGTAATATCAGTTAGGATATCATGTAGGGTAATATCAGTTAGGACATCATGTTGGGTAATATCAGTTAGGACATCATGTAGGTAAATATATCGGTTAGGACATCATGTAGGGATATATCAGTTAGGACATCATGTTGGGTAATATCAGTTAGGACATCATGTGGGGTAATATCAGTTGGGACATCATGTTGGGTAATATCAGTTAGGACATCATGTAGGGTAATATCAGTTAGGACATCATGTAGGGATATATCAGTTAGGACATCATGTTGGGTAATATCAGTTAGGACATCATGTAGGGTAATATCAGTTAGGACATCATGTAGGGTAATATCAGTTAGGACATCATGTTGGGTAATATCAGTTAGGACATCACGTTGGGTAATATCAGTTAGGACATCCTGTTGGGTAATATCAGTTAGGATATCATGTTGGGTAATATCAGTTAGGACATCATGTGGGGTAATATCAGTTAGGACATCATGTTGGGTAATATCAGTTAGGACATCATGTAGGGTAATATCGGTTAGGACATCATGTAGGGATATATATGTTAGGACATCATGTTGGGTAATATCAGTTAGGATATCATGTAGGGTAATATCAGTTAGGACATCATGTTGGGTAATATCAGTTAGGACATCATGTAGGGTAATATCAGTTAGGACATCATGTAGGGATATATCAGTTAGGACATCATGTTGGGTAATATCAGTTAGGACATCATGTGGGGTAATATCAGTTGGGACATCATGTTGGGTAATATCAGTTAGGACATCATGTAGGGTAATATTGGTTAGGACATCATGTAGGGATATATCAGTTAGGACATCATGTTGGGTAATATCAGTTAGGACATCATGTAGGGTAATATCAGTTAGGACATCATGTAGGGTAATATCAGTTAGGACATCATGTTGGGTAATATCAGTTAGGACATCACGTTGGGTAATATCAGTTAGGACATCATCCTGTTGGGTAATATCAGTTAGGACATCATGTTGGGTAATATCAGTTAGGACATCAGTGGGGTAATATCAGTTAGGACATCATGTAGGAAATATCAGTTAGGACATCATGTAGGGAAATATCAGTTAGGAAATCATGTAGGGTAATATCAGTTAGGACATCAATGTAGGGTAATATCAGTTAGGACATCCTGTTGGGTAATATCAGTTAGGATATCATGTAGGGTAATATCCGTTAGGACATCATGTAGGGATATATCAGTTAGGACATCATGTTGGGTAATATCAGTTAGGACATCATGTTGGGTAATATCAGTTAGGACATCATGTAGGGTAATATCAGTTAGGACATCATGTAGGGTAATATCAGTTAGGACATCATGTAGGGTAATATCAGTTAGGACATCATGTTGGGTAATATCAGTTAGGACATCATGTGGGGTAATATCAGTTAGGACATCATGTAGGGTAATATCAGTTAGGACATCATGTCGGGTAATATCAGTTAGGATATCATGTAGGCTAATATCAGGTAGTACGTAATGATGTAAAACATCACTGCACTGTGCATATGCTCCACATACTTACTCAGCACTTTACAGGATGCTATTTCAAATCAGTGTATCTACACACTGAAATGTTTTCAATGATTTTCAGTTGTTAGTTGTACAGTCAGGTGACATACCTGCAGACCAGCTACAGCTTTCTTCACGTCCTTGTCCTTGACGTACTGCGCAGCCTGTATCAACACAGGGGTGTCAATGTCCGGGTACTGCGACATCAGCTTATTCGCCAGATTGTGACACATATCTCCCTGAAAGGTACAAAGACAGATTACATCAGTGTGTTCAAGGGAGGTAACTCATGAAACAGAGTACTTCACCAACAACTGGTGTTCAACTCTCATCAACATTATAACAATCATACTATCATTTTAATGCTGTATCATATCTCTTAATGTCAGTATATACAGTTCACTAGGACATTACTTCAAAGGTTGCAGGTGCTTCGTGAGGTAGATCACATATACTTCAAAACAGCTAACTGATGATACCAGTACGTGAATCTGCAGGCCGAAAGACAGCAGTAGCAGACAGTTGGAATCAAACCATCTTCTGATACAATCTTAACATTGTTTAATAACTTCAGAAACCCCTACAAGTTTAGCTGTTAGTCTAGACACCCCAACATGTCTAAAAGTTCAGCTAATCTAGAGACCCCTACAAGTTCAGCTGCTATTCCCCTAACTGCTCACCACTACTGTAGAGCCCCGAGAGGTTAAGGGAAGTCACCTGGTTAGAGTACATGTGAAGCAGACACTGGTTCAGCTGGATGTTGGTCTTCTGGCTGGACGTCAACTTGTGCTTCAAACTGTCTCCCGTGGCTGCCTTCATCTTCCTCTTAGAGTCGAACACATTCTGGTCCTGCAGACACAATAAAACAATATGAAGCTGTGTTTGGTGTTACACCCCTAAATCTCCAGGGGGTATCAGGATGAGGATGCATTCACATGTGGGGCGACATTTACATTCCACCCCCTCCACAAACCCTGTGCCATGGTTCACGAACAAGGAGCAGACATAGTCATCAAATTCATCAAGGTGACCCTTCTTAATTCCTGTCACATGACACCAACATAACCGAACACTACTAGAATGTGCATACAGCCAGTGCTGGAGGTGGAGTCTGCTCACCTTGTTCAGAGTGACCATGTTGTTGGATGCCACTGCCACCAGGCCGATGTCCGATGGCTTGTTCCGCAGGACCTGGTTGTACAACTTGTTGGCCTCGCTGTTGCGGTGGAGCTGCTGCAGCACATACGCCAGCTGCACTCTACATGGTCGGACATTAAATACTAATTAGGATAGGGATAATATCCCAACTCACATATCTTGAAAGTAATTAAGGTGATGAATTACAGTGATTACAGTGAGTGAGTGAGTCTAGTTTTACGCCGCACTCAGCAAAATTCCAGCTATATGGCAGCGGTCTGGACCAGACAATACACTGATCAACAGCATGAGCATCGATCTGCGCAATTGGGACCGATGACATGTGTCAACCAAGCCAGCGAGCCTGACCACCCGATCCCGTTAGTCGCCTCTTATGACAAGCATGGGTTACTGAAGGTTCGTTCTAACACGAACCTTTACGGGTCGATACGTGATTATAAAATGTTAAGTCGACGATACATATCTCAAAAGGGGCTCAGGCACAAGGCATGGACACGATAGGTATCATTAACACATTATGTATTGTTACGAAAAATAAAATTATTTACCTAATGATTGCCAGCTCCTCTTCCAGTTCATCTTCAGCCAATTCGGGATCATTCTTTAATGCAGCTGTGGAACACATCTCAACATGAATATCAACAGCGCCACCAATTGTGCACAGAAAGTACTAGACTACAAACAGCTGTACCAGTTTAACTATTGTGAAGGGTGTTCACAGCACAATCTGCATTACTCAAGCCTGAACATATCTGGGCCAGTTAAACCTCCAGCTGACATTACAAGCAACCAAAGAAGACTGGTATTGTCATTTGGACTGAACATTTCATTCATCCAGACATCAGATCTTGCATGGCTTTATCAGATTCTATCAGCAGTTAGCTGGTTTTTGTCTAGTATCAAATCTAAGCTGTTAACTTGCACCCACCTTCAGCACTGCGGAGTTTCTCCTCAGCTGTTTTGTAATCGCCACGGCCGATGTAGTAACACGCACTGTTGTAGCTGATCTCGTAGGAACCCTCTAATCCAGGGTCATCCTAAAACAAAGGACACTAAGTATAATGGACAGAACACACCTGCAGGGAACAAAACATACCTGAGGTGCTCTGGAAACACCTGTATTACTCACGACACACCTGTATTACTCATGACACACCTGTATTGCAACCGACACAATTGTATTGCATACAACACACCTGTATTGCCTACGACACACCTGTATTGCGCACAACACACCTGTACTGCACACAACACACCTGTACTGCGCACAACACACCTGTATTGCACAGAACACATCTAAATAGAACAGAACACACATGCAGAGCTCAGTCTATTTCATGTTTCTTTCTAATTAACTCCTGCCCCCACCCTGCCTGGTCAGTGAGAGATAGGTGTGTCCAGTCAGCATCTCCTGGTATCTTGTGATATCATACACATGGACTGACCACACTTTGGTGTCACAACTAACCACGTCAAATATTAAAATGTTAAAAAATCATGAGATTACTGAAAAACAACTTAAATCTCATGTTAACAATGGTAACATTAATAAATGTAAACTTAACGTGGTATTGCTAGGGTTATATCGATGGTGATACGCCATCTACATTAACAATAGCCTGATACAATGATGCTGCAAAATATAATGAAACTCACAACATCGTTGCCATCCCACATCTGCAGTGCTGCCACAACAGCAGCGAGGTTGGTCTGTCGTTCCTCGTCAAAGTCATCCTGGAATGAGGAAGATCAGTGTTACTGGCAGGTCAAGAGGGAGATTATCATTCGTAACTACTCGCCTCTTTCCGTGATCTACAAGAAGACTCGTACCCCTATCGTACGTCATTATTGCCAAGAATCGTGGCAAACCAATCAATCGTGCATAGTAAAATGCATTTCGAAGCATGAAACTGGCGTCGTCGTTGAACTTTGAAACTTCGCAAAACAATGCAAAGCATAATTTAAACATATACTTTGAGCTAAAGGATCAGCAACTTTAAACACTGAAATATATTTACAAAGAGAATGACTGTATTGCCCACGGGAAATAGGATATTCTCAGAGCCATGTTTGGAAATTTAGAGTTATCTTTCCTTGGTAATAGTACAAGACTATGTTCATCTGCATGCCCGTTTGCGCTTAGACAGGACCCAGTCATAAACATGGCCACAAGAGGGGTACGAGACACCATGCGGCTTGCCGGAAAGACACGAGTAGTTACGAATGGGAGATTATGTGTACATGGAGAAGAAAATAAACGACAGTTGATAAGCATGATAAGGGACCAGTTCCCAAGTTCAATTCAGGATAAAATCCTTAAATCCTGAAACATACCCCTCTCCTGCCAGCATCTTAATTCTGAAAATGGTAAATTCCTTGTAATACTGAACACAGTAGTACCGTCACGAAGGATGACAAGCATACTCTACTTCTATTCCATGCTTTGATATAACATGAACATCATTATGGAATGTTTACATGAGGGATGACAGATCAGTCTTGAAGCTTCGTAGTTTGGATGGTAAAACTGTACGGGTTGACATTACTGATGCTGCTATGACCGTGTGGCTGATTTAACTCTCTTTCAGCATGACTGATCAATGACAAGTGACATAAAATAAGTGACATAATATGAGTTTTGCTTATTTCAGTTACTATATAACACACTGAGAACTAAAGTTGCTTGAACTTGTCAGATGAATGCAGGTAAAATATTCAGGTCCCTATGGGTAAGCGTTTTCAGCCATATCAAAGTTATCATGTCGTCTCAATGTTGGCAACACAATGTGAAAACACTTATAACTATGTGAAACCCAGAGCACCATGACACGATAAAACAAGGATTACAATCTGGTTGAATCTGGGATTCAAACCAATGTCCAGATAAATCTGCCCAAACTTTTACCACTTGGCCAACTTCAAGCCCGTTACAAGACTGTCGAATAAAGTAATGTTGAGACCGTGGTCCCCTTGGTAATGTTATGAACTAATTGCTAGCACAAATTAAGTGTATTGCACACACAAATGTAAAAAAAAACCCTCTAACGGAGCCATTATCCGAGATGGTTGTGATGAAAAGTGAACTACAAACCTGTGAGTTCTTGACGATATCTCTGTAGAGGTCATAACACTCCTCATACTCCTCCAGACGATACAGCTGGAAGCAGATCAACAATCATCACACTTGTGTTCTCCTCCTACTGTTGTAACAGTGACATCACAACACCTCACTAACCAATCACTGGATCATCTGGTCCAGACTCGATTATTTACAGACCACTGCCATATAGCTGGAATATTAAAAAGCAGCACCCAGTTTGTGAAGACTGTCTGTATGTTAAAATAACACAAACTGCCTTGAACATTCTGAACAAGATAAATGAAAATAAGTTGATTACAACAAATACAAAATGGCTGACGTCCCTCTAGGCCAATGGGTGTGTTACTTACTACTTGTGCAAGGAGCTCCTTGCTGCGACTGTCTGGGTTGGTGATGGAGCGGAGGGTCGTCAAAGCTTCCTGGGTGCGGTTCAGGCGGTACTCACAATAGGCTTTCTCAAATTTCAGGTTCCTGTTGAAGACACATTCATCAGTGAATGTCATTTGCTATTTTCCAAAGTAATCTACACCACATTCTATAGAACATAGAACATGTAGATAGTCATAAATCAATGAATAAAATGATTACACATACATTCAACAATGTCTAATATTCATACATTATTGCAACCATGACAGTATAAAGATTGCATTCAGTAACAATGGGCTTAGTGACATGTTCTGGTCACTCAGACCAACTGTCTTAATTTTTGGGTCTCATATGAGTGTCTCAGCTTATAGTGGGGTCATAGAATAGAAAGCTGACAAAGGGGTCACATGTTTTTAATTGTTTTGAATATTTGTATGTCCCTTGGTTTCAACGAAAGATCCCAATCTTAAGTAAGTGAGGACAATGCATTGGCTCTCCATAACCAGTCTCTGACATAAATACTGAACCTCTACATATGACTCACAACTGCAGTTTCTTGTCCTTGTGTACAGCAGTTAGAGCTTCATCAAAGCGATCCAGAAGAATAAAGCTGACTACTTTACACTGAAATGCCTCCTCTTCTTCTGGATTCTGCTGAAGAACTGTACAACACAGGGCACAAAAATTCAAATGAATGTATTCAACACATTTTGCAGGCTTGACAAAGACACCAAATACATCACTATATCGCTAGAAGTCTCTTTCAGTTTCATTAAGCATGTTTAGAGATATGATAAAGAGAGATATTTCTACTTTTTCATGTTCTTTCTGGATTTAGTGTTTGCTCTAGATCCAGGTGATGAACAAACAAGTGCTTAATTGGGATGAGTGATTGAGCTGAGTTTACCCAAGTATTTCAGTGACATCACCTTTAGTCACCACTTTCATCAAGCTGATATAATTTCATTCTTTTCAGTAATGTCACAGATTTGACACAGACTGCCTTACAAGAAGGTGTATCGAATGAATACACAGAATTGTCATAATATCAGAAATAAGAAAGAGCTCAATTATTGTTGTTAAATAATGTATTAATATGATTAATGAATATTTGACAAGTACTGACTGGTTATCTGTTGTCTTGGTGGGGCGTGCACCCTTCTCAACAATCTGCCGAATCACCTGCACACTACTTGCCATTTGGTTAGTGACTAAAAATCTCACGTAATCTCATATTTCAGGAATAGAACACACCGAAATGTACATTTCCTTCAAATAAGCGCAACATCAACACGACTAACTGGTTGAATTCACCAAAATTCACCTGACTAACCATATGGCATATATTTGTTAACATATGAAGGACCGGCCATCAAATTGATGTCTCGTGAAATACGCAGTCGATTTCCGGTAAACCGAAGACCTTTTTTGTGTAACTTACTCTTATTCGCAGCCTTAATGGCTCTTTCATACTCTTGTTTCTGTCCAAACCGATTTAAATCGGCATAAAGTGCAGGTAACGTTCCTCCTTGGCCTTGCTGTGCCATGTTGGGATAATGACTCGTTTAACGGACCAAAATCTTATATACACTGATAATATATTGGCTGGAATAACGAGTTTCTCCTTTTGGTCTCTTTAGCTGAAGAGTAAGTCAAGTACGAGTTATACCCCTTTGTTAAATGGGCGTGACTTCATAATAGGATTTGACACGCCACGGAAATGGTAACGATACACTGACCCAGTAGATCCACATTATATCCAAATATAAGGGGTGTATTTTTGCGCCTGAAATGCAAGTCTAATAAACTGTACGGGCAAGTATCTTTCTAAGACATAGGCGGATCTAGAATGGGAGAGGAGTGGTGCAGGGGTGCGCACCTCCCCTTTAGTCCTAAAAGTTTATTCAATGACCATTGAAACTCTCGTGAAACGATTGAAATGTGCCCTCTCCCTCTCTCTCTCTCTCTCTCTCTCTCTCTCTCTCTCTCTCTCTCTCTCTCTCTCTCTCTCTCTCTCTCTCTCTCTCTCTCTCTCTCTCTCTCTCTCTCTCTCTCTCTCTCTCTCTCTCTCTCTCTCTCCGCCCTGAACGTCTCTTATACTGACCAATCGGCACTGAAACTCCTTCCACTAACATTAATATATATACACTATATTTACACCTTGCACAGTTAATGAGCTTCTTGTACATTCATCATCACCACCTGTCAATCACACGTGATAGCTAGACATGTGCGTCGTCTCAGGATATTCTGTGTGTCCAGTTTACATATTAACACGAACGTGTATTTTACCGAGCGACGTTTTGCCAAATATTTAAACTGTATGAGTTACACAAGTCTTAGGCGCCGCTTCTCTTGAGAAGGAGCATCAGATGTGGCTTTTAAGTAATTTCAAGGCATCCTAATCTTTAGTACCTAAAAAACTCTAAATACTTTCAGTAGCACATTTTGCGTGTCTACTTGAGTTTGAGATTTTAGTTGCGCTTCCGTCGGAACTGAGTCGTCTTCGTGCACAGAATGTTTCTATTCGGGAAAAGTGTGGGCGTAATGCAAGTAGCTAATTACCGGTTGACGATTTAATCAGGACCGCGAGTGTAATAGGTGTGAGATTTGATTCAGGCATCTAATTAATGGTTACACTAAGTACACAGGCGTCTCCATACTGGCATTACGACATCGTCACACTGACATTACGACATCATCACACTGACTTTACGACATCGTCACACTGACACACAAGTAACACCAGCTACCATCCTTTAAAATCTTCCGGTAAAACCAATGTGTGAAATAATCTCGTAACCTTCCTGTCCAGAGGGGCTAGCTGGCCAAATCAAATTTCACCAGCTTGAGATTGATTTTGACCGAGACGTACATAGCAAGGATGAAATCGCCATTAAATATTCACTAGCCAATCCGACTAGAGCTGCTTTGCTCAGTTGCGTACTATTGGACATATCCAAACATATCTCACCACCGAATCTGCCACCACTCTTGTCCTGTCTCTAGTTATGAGCAGGATTGATTACTGTAACTCCCTTCTCGCTGGTGCCACTAAGACACAGATAAGGAAACTTCAGCGTGTGCAAAACGCTGCTGCACGTATAGTGACCCAGTCACGTAAATCTGATGACGCTCTGAAACTCCTACATTCTTTACACTGGCTGCCCATTCACTATAGGATTCAATTCAAGTTTCTGTGCCTCACTTTCCGCTGTCTGTCTGGATCTGCCCCTTCGTATCTGGCCCAGTCCCTCACACAGCACCGCCCATGTCGCTCTCTCCGTTCACAGGATAAACGTTTCCTCGTTATCCCCACTGTGAGGACTTCTACGTATGGTGAAAGGTCCTTTTCGTATGCAGCCTCTACAGCCTGGAATCAACTACCTCAATATCTACGTGACTGTTCAGAACTTTCTAATTTTAAATCTTTACTAAAGACGCACTTTTTCAGATTAGCTTATGAGTGTAAACGATAATTCATTGCATTGTTTCCATGTATCTCTCTAATCTTTTATTCTCTGCTATAGTCTGTCTGTATGTACTTCTATGTCTTGCGCTTTGAGCATGTTGTTTGAGCATTACAAGCATGCTATTATTATTATTATTATTTCAGATTCCCCAGCCCGACAGAAAATACACCAACTGTATCAGTGTAACTGAATCAGTGGAAGGGAAGGGACTCACGCGGGTATCAATGTCATGCCAGATTTTGTGCCAGAAATGAATAGTTATATTTTCAATCCCGTTTTTTCATGAAGAATTCTATTTATTTCAGTGGTCAGTCCATTAGTATAGTTCTAACTTTAGAAACATTAATACTCCGATTACTGTACTATCAACTGGTATGATATATTGTCTGTTCTGTCGTGCTGACATCGTGTGAACAGTTTTAGTTAAGTCGTGCAGTAGTGAGTGAGTTTAGTTTTAAGCCGCACTCAGCAATATTCCAGCTATATGGCGGCGGTCTGTAAATAATTGAGTCTGGGCCAGTTATCAACAACACGAGCATCGATCTACACAATTGGGATACGATGACATGTGTCAACCAAGTCAGCGAGCTCAAGCATGACCACCCGATCCCGTTAGTCACCTCTTACGACAAGCATGGGTTACTGAAGATCAATTCTAAACCGGATCTTCACGGATCTACAGTAAATTCCTTGTTTCATATGTATATTAATCAGTATACCACAGGCATGTGCATATCGTGTTTGTATTCTTTCCAAACGATATTCGGTTTCATTTGGTTTCACGCCTGTGATACATATATTCATGCCAACAACCTGCTGGCATCCTCCTATTTCTGATGAACACACAGAGGCTTGACTGAACACAGTATAATGTATGTGTTCCCATTATATACGAGGGGCGATCAAAAAGTATGTAGATCACCAAGAAAACGAAACAAATGCAGTTATTTTTATGTTCTATTTTTTTACATATTATCTGTCAAGCTCAAGCGATTTGGTTTTGCCATGTTTTATCTTGGTACCCTCAAAAAACGCAAAATCTACAATAAATGCATAAAAAATTTCAGGAAACAAAATATGCAAGAAATATTTTTGTGTGTTTGAGATTGATAGAAGACCCCTAGAATCACGCTTAGATATTAAAGTTCATAAAAAATCAATTTGAAATTACAATCGCTTGTTAAAGTGACACCCCATTCAAGTTGACTGAAAGAGCTTGTTTTGGAGACACTACCCATCACCCTTTCAGATAACGTAATCATAAGGGCATAGCTTATCCTAATGTTTTCACTTATGCATACATGATGACAAGGGTTCAAACTAAATGCTGAATGGTCAAACAAGTGTCAGCTCACAATATATTGTAAACAGTGCCAGGTTGAATATCTGGACACAATGTTTTTGAAAGATTAAAATTGGGGTGTCCTTAAAATATAGCCCCCGACTAAATATAAATCGGGCAATCCAAATCTTTGACTGTTGATCATGACGTGAAGTCATCCAATACTATACTGAACATATTTTATATGACGTTATCTGATGGCATACCATTATCCAAGAGGTACCAAAGGACAAATCGTTTTTCATTTTCTGCAATTTTGTTAGAAATATTATACCCCAATGTGTTGCAGTAGGGAGCAGTATATATACTATGTTATAAGTCCGACAACTGTCTTTAATCACATATCCTCTTTCACAATCTCTACGAGGGCAGAATGTCATCACTTACCCGTTACTTTTTCATTAACATTACTAAAAGATGAAATGTACGTAACACAATATGCCAATGAAAAGAACATCTTTGTGAAATATTCATTGAACGATAAATATGAAGATGTTTTTATACTATCACTTTTGGAGGCTAAGGATAAAGTTAATGAGGCTGTATATGTCGCGTTGTCTGATATCAACAGGGGAGTGAATATCTTTACAGAAATCTTGTTGAGGTCAGCTGAATGCATGCAAGGTGTTGTTACAATACATTATCAATCACAACATTGGGTTTATGATACCTGCCAGTCATTCAAAAAGCAAAGACTCGATTTCTTAAATAAGTTACGCAAGCAGAAAGACAAAGCACCACAAGACGCCACTTATCTGACAGCCAGGAAAGCCTATGAATCGTCTTGTACAAAGGCCAAGTGCAATTGTGAACAAAAGCAAATACGAGATTTGAATGAGGCATTGGATGACTCCAAGCTATTTTGGCGTAAATTTTAATCTTTTTCATAACCATTTTCAGCAGAAAATAGTATTTCCAATCAAACGTGGTTTGACTATTTAGAAAAGCTGTCTGCCAAAGCAAGTTATGATGCTATCCTGATAAAATGTGTATTCCACAGCATTATCCCGATACAATGTTTACTTCACAGCATTATCCTGATATAATGTTTATTCCACAGTGTTATCCTGATAAAATGTTTAATCCACAGCATTATCCAGATATACTGTTTACTCCACAGCATTATCCTGATGAAATGTTTATTCCACAACATAATCCTGATAATATGTTTATTCGACAGCATTATCCTGATATAATGTTTATTTCACAGCATTATCCTGATATAATGTTTATTCCACAGCATTATCCAGATATAATGTATATTCGACAGCATTATCCTGATAGTATGTTTATTCGACAGCATTATCCTGATATAATGTTTATTCCACAGCATTATCCTGATGAAATGTTTATTCCACAACATTATCCTGATAATATGTTTATTCCACAGCATTATCCTGATATAATGTTTATTCCACAGCATTATCCTGATATGTTTATTTCACAGTATTATCCTGATATAATGTTTATTCCACAGCATTATCCTGATGTAATGTTTATTCCACAGCATTATCCTGATATAATGTTTATTCCACAGCATTATCCTGATATAATGTTTATTCCACAGCATTATCCTGATATAATGTTTATTCCACAGCATTATCCTGATATAATGTTTATTTCACAGTATTATCCTGATAAAATGTTTATTCCACAGCATTATCCTGATATAATGTTTATTCCACAGCATTATCCTGATATAATGTTTATTCCACAGCATTATCCTGATATAATGTTTATTCCACAGCATTATCCTGATATAATGTTTATTCCACAGCATTATCCTGATATAATGTTTATTCCACAGCATTATCCTGATATAATGTTTATTTCACAGCATTATCCTGATATAATGTTTATTCCACAGCATTATCCTGATATAATGTTTATTTCACCGTATTATCCTGATATAATGTTTATTCCACAGCATTATCCTGATATAATGTTTATTCCACAGCATTATCCTGATATAATGTTTATTCCACAGCATTATCCTGATATAATGTTTATTCCACAGCATTATCCTGATATAATGTTTATTCCACAGCATTATCCTGATATAATGTTTATTCCACAGCATTATCCTGATATAATGTTTATTCCACAGCATTATCCTGATATAATGTTTATTCCACAGCATTATCCTGATATAATGTTTATTCCACAGCATTATCCTGATATAATGTTTATTCCACAGCATTATCCTGATATAATGTTTATTCCACAGCATTATCCTGATATAATGTTTATTCCACAGCATTATCCTGATATAATGTTTATTCCACAGCATTATCCTGATATAATGTTTATTCCACTGCATTAATATAATGTTTATTCCACAGCATTATCCTGATATAATGTTTATTCCACAGCATTATCCTGATAAAATGTTTATCCACAGCATTATCCTTGATATAATGTTTATTCCACAGCATTATCCTGATATAATGTTTATTCCACAACATAATCCTGATAATATGTTTATTCGAGAGCATTATCCTGATATAATGTTTATTTCACAGCATTATCCTGATAATATGTTTATTCCACAGCATTATCCAGATATAATGTATATTCGACAGCTTTATCCTGATAGTATGTTTATTCGACAGCATTATCCTGATATAATGTTTATTCGACAGCATTATCCTGATGAAATGTTTATTCCACAGCATTATCCTGATAATATGTTTATTCCACAGCATTATCCTGATATAATGTTTATTCCACAGCATTATCCTGATATGTTTATTTCACAGTATTATCCTGATATAATGTTTATTCCACAGCATTATCCTGATATAATGTTTATTCCACAGCATTATCCTGATATAATGTTTATTCCACAGCATTATCCTGATATAATGTTTATTCCACAGCATTATCCTGATATAATGTTTATTCCACAGCATTATCCTGATATAATGTTTATTCCACAGCATTATCCTGATATAATGTTTATTCCACAGCATTATCCTGATATAATGTTTATTCCACAGCATTATCCTGATATAATGTTTATTTCACAGCATTATCCTGATATAATGTTTATTCCACAACATTATCCTGATAAAATGTTTATTCCACAACACTATCCTGATAAAATGTTTATTCCAAAGTCATGTCACCATATACATTTTATACCACAGTAGCGAGGAGGGAGAAAAGGTTTCTCTACATATTTGTAACAAATCCACTTTATAAATGATCTTTTGGATGAAAACGGGTGTTTTCTAAACTTCATCGAATTTAAAAACAAATACGCTCTTAAAAACAAACCTCACTCTTTATTGTGGTTTGGTTCAAACGACAAAAACATATATCAAATCATTTGGAAATTTTGAAATAAAAAAATAAGGTTGAATTACCAATCTTTGTACAGACAACAAAGGTTCGAGGTATTATTATTCAACACTTATTGGGAAACACTGTATCAAAAAACAACATATTAATAAGTAGGAACATGGACTAAAGATAACATGATACCTTTTCGGTGCACCACCCATTCAAACATTCAGTAGTTCCAGTACACAATCCTACACCATATCCTACCAACTGATATCCGTTTACAAAGAATGGGCTATACTAAATCAGATAGATGAACTTTTGTTCCTACAAAACAGACACATTGCAGCATTTATTTTGGAAATGTGATCTTGTACGGCCACTATGGACCAATCTGGAAGGTCCATCATTTTAATAAAGGAAGGATTTTGATTGGTTTTCCATAGATAAACAATGATCTACTAAACATAATTATCTTGATTTTCAAAAAGACTATATTTGACCATTAACAGAAACGATTGCCAACCTTCCAAACATTGTTATACAAAGTCCGAGATTATTATATTATTACCAAATGTGCTGCTGAAATGTTAAATAAAGTCGATATGTTTTACAAATTGTGGTCTTCATGCCATTCTCTGTTCTTGTAATTGTATTGTGTGACTGATAAATAATAAATAATAAACAAAAATATTTGTAACAAATTACTTGTGTTTATGTACTACCGTCAGATGTGATTTGTATGAAGCACCATGAATGTTTGATCGCATCACGTATATTGCTTGTTTCACAAGGGAACTAACGTCAGCTAGATTTGTTTGCATTGTCAGCGTGACACTACCTGTGAGACAGATGCTATTAGTTGGAAGATTGAAAACCTGGAATTAGAAATGACACCAACAGGTGTTAGATTACAGCTTATGTACCTGCATGGCTGCTGTCGCACATTTATGTGTGTTGAATATTAATGTCTGCTACGTAGAAATAATATACTGACCCATTTATACATAATGTAACAAACACTTGCAAAGGCATGTCAAGGAAATGAAGGCTTTGAAAATGAAATTGGAAATGTCCTCCGCTTGTCATCAAGAAATGTTTTGAAAGCGCTACTGAGCTAGGTCTTGAGTGTTGTAAACATGATCAAACAACTTTTGAGTAAGAGTACGCTGTTTGAAATCTTGGAAGGAAGAGCATGTCAGATTGTACCTCAAACGGCATGGAATGTAATCACCACGGGCTGAAGCTGTTGTAATATTGCTGGACATGAAGGGGGAAGTTGACCACTTTTAAAAGAATGTTATTCCTTTTATCATACAGTCTTGTACATATGCACAGACATAAAACTGAAACGGAATGTCCAGAGATGCTGGTCAAATCATTAGAAGGGATCTGGCTAAATAGCGGTTATTGCGATCATTGATACACCTGAGGAACTTCTTTTTCTGACAAGTGTGCCAAATCCCCAATCTTGCGCCTTATACAGATAAGTGTCACAATAGAATGGCAAATACACCGTTTCATTCTGTAGATTTACTAATTCAACTAATATTTTAGCAAAAAACTGACATGTAAAGACAAAAACACAATGTGATATTGGGGATGAATATGATAGCTTCAATAACGCTACATATTGAAAGGTAGCAGATGCTAAAAATTGAGCACAGCTGGCCACTGTTAATATATATTTTGATGATATGGTGGCCGGGAGATTGCAATCTAATCCTTCCACTGTTATAGGTATTTGTGTAGTCGTTATTGAGTTACATTGAGGCATACCTGGAGCAGGTGCAACGATGGCTCTCCGCACTGACCAGGACAACGGAGGTAATTTGCATAAATATTTAGACATCGGAGGGAAAAGATTTCCGCTTGTAATAAAAGAAGAAATTGTCAGAAATATCCCCAACATCAAGTTACGGGAAGATGACGTCATCATTTGTGGATATCCACGTTCAGGTAAGAGCCTTCCCTGGCAAGACGACCAATTCTATAACAGAAACCTTTATTCCCTACACAGTAGAACCTTCATTTGAAAGAATTGTTAAAACTCGAGTTAGCTCACTTAGTTTATTGATGCCTAACTTGGCGTCAAACCAACGGTACAGAAACACTAAATGACTGACTTAGTGTTAACTCACCAAAAGAAAACACTAATCATAAACTATGGTTAAAGTACGCCATATTCACTACAGGTAACACTAAATAATTAGCTGAATTGAATAATTCAGTATGTGTGGACTTAATCGAAAGGTAACTATTCAAGGTGTTAATATTCACTGTTAAACTCACCGAACGAAAACACTAGACTGTTTCATGAATCATGATTTCAAAATCTGTATAGACGCCTTCTTATGTTTAAAAAACTTTAAAAGACAAACCACAACTGACAATTAACAAACTCATGGTTCAACAAAATTCATATTTCAATAGTTCAAGTTAAAATAATATTATTGAGCACCACCTATGACGATTTATCTTTCTTTGAAATCACATCTCGAATATTCACCGAAAGAGTTTCCACAAGGGCATGAATGGAAAATAGAAGTGAAAAGTATATAAATGATAACTGAAATTAGTGATGATATAGCGTGGAATAAACGCACGATGCCACAAGATCTGTAAGATTTACATTTAACAAGAGAACACGACTTCCGTACACCAAGCTTGGTAACTTCAAGATTAAGGACAGAATATGCCCCCTGTCATCCAAGTCCAGATTAACGACAAAGTATTTAACTTTTAATCGTGAAAAGGGGTAAATCCTGCAGAGAATTTCCAGAGGGATACCATTTCTTAATTTAGTGCGTCATCGTATCCCGTATGTGCTCTCCCTACCAAACACATGTTTGGTTCAGATTCAACAACAACCTTGCTAACGACCCAGATTCACGGTTCATTGTATATTTCAAGGAACACACTGGACGTTTGAAATGACCTCCATGCTTCTGACGGGTCGGGACGAGACCATTCCTCTGTGGAAAGGAAATATGATGTTGTCAATGGTTCCGGAACGTGACCTTGCCCTTGCCCCGTCACCCCGGGTTCTCAACACGCACCAGTTCTACGAACAGCTACCTAGAGACATCATCACCCTTCGGAACAAGATTGTGTACGTGCTGCGTGACCCCCGGGACGTTGCTGTGTCGTTCTACCACTTCTACATCAACAACAAGACGGGGGTGGGCTACCACGGAACCTGGAGACACTTCCTGGAGCTGTTCCTGAACGGGAAAGGTATTGTCGCCCTACACGCTACACAGGCCCGTCCACAATGCGATCTGAGAGATCTGATGGCCCCTGGTATCCTGCATTTTGTATTGTGAGACTTCAACGAAGATTTATGTTTCAATTGACTTTTACATCAGATGGCTGCTATTAGCAAACGGGACGATCTGATTAAAATGAGCTCTTACGGCTAAGCACAAAAAACACACTCCATTTCAGGGTCATTGAGTGTGAATGAGTAACTATGGTTTTACGCCGCTTTTAGCAATATTCCAGCAATATCAGGGCGGGCGACACCTGAAATGGGTTTTACACATTGTACCCACGTGGGGAATCTAACCCGGGTCTTCGGTGTGATGAGCGGACGCTTTAACCCTGAGGCTACCCCACCGCCCCTCACGTCATTGACATTTGACAGTTGGAATATGTTTGATAATACAACATCGGAAGGGTTAACACAGAAAACAATTTATTTCGAAGGACAATTGCGGATTCCGCAAAACATGTCTCAGGTTAGTGGACTAAGCACCGAGGGAAGACGTTTCATAGCCCGTGGAGAGTACTATGAGATAATGCCACGCTATTGCTAAAAATGGGGAGGGGGGGAACAACTCTCTCTCCACTGCACACCTCTCTCTCTTCCTCTTTTGCTTTCTCTCTCCCTCTCTCTCGCTATCTCTCCCACTCCACTCTCTCTCTCTACCCTATTCTCCCCCTCTCTCTCCAGTCTCGACCGCCTCCGTGGTGTAGTGGTTAGAGCGTCCGCCCGGAGAGAGGAAGGTCGCGGGTTCGATCCCCGACCGCGTCATACCAAAAGACGGTAAAATATGGTACTTGTTGGTCCCTGCCTGGCGCTCGGCATTAATGAGTACAACAAGGACTGGTCGGCTCGGAGTCAGTATAATGTGTCTGAGATACCATGCTTCACTGCGGCATGGTATCTCAGTGGGCTAGCTCTTTAAAACTAGCTTAAGTCTGGGCTAGTACAAGCAGCCGCACATACACACACACACGCATGCACGTTGTCATATGAGCTAAATATTCTCAAGCACGACGTTAAACCCAATTTCACCTCACCTCACCTCTCCACTCTCTCTTTCACACATACAACCATTCACTCACGCGTCCATTCACGCACTTACACTACCCTCCATTTTGTTTTCTGGCAGTGCAATGGGGGTCCTGGTTTGAGCACGTGAAGAATTTTGAGGAAGTAATCAAGACAAACAGGCATGGTCAGCAGATCCTGGTGATGAATTATGAGGACACAAAGCAGGTGATGACGTCACAACATTCCTCTGTAAAAGTTTGCTCAGATTGTGAAACCCAAACTGAAATCTCTATCACGCAAATATTTTCTTCATGAATAACCAGATCAACACTCGTCATGTTTCATGGTTGTGTCAAATATCAGTTCAGCAAGACATGATTTACTTTAAAGTATTGAGATCTAACATTTGTAATCCATTGTGGGTGATCCGTGCTTCGAATTCTGTAGACCTCAAGCCAAGGTCAAGGTCGTCAGGGGTCACATTGTAAAACTTGGCACTGAACTTCGGAGTTTAAGAAAAAATAACATCTAAAATTAATTTGTGAAGATCATTGGGGAATGAAATTCCCCTTAGAACATGACCCAGCTTGAAATTCCCTTCACAATATGTCCAACGTCGAACATCTGAGGATCTTCAAGATTGAACATCCACGCCAGAATATCTCTCTAGTGAACAGATCCCTGTACCACACACCAAGAACAAACCTTAGGTGAAACCTTTATATATGTTTGATGTTAGTAAAATAATACAGAAACGACAAAACCTTTTCCCCATCCATAAGAAATCTCTGCTAAAAGCAGAGTGATTGTACACTTGTGACTATACCAGAGGTATGTGTTTGTGTGACGCCGCATCCAGCAGTATTACAGCTGTAAACAATTGAGCCTTCACAAAAATAACATGGTACATATTTCGGACTGTTTCAGAATCCTAAAGAATCTGTCAATAGACTGTCAGATTTCCTCGGATTGCCTCGGAATGACGAATTGTGTTCCCAGATCGCCGACAAATGCAGCTTCACGAACATGGCAGTAGACAAGCTGAAGTACACACTCCTGTCCGACAACCGAGACATAATGTACAGAAAAGGTGGGTCGCACACGGGTAGATTTCTATATCCCTGGTGACACAGGCTTATTGGCGGATTATGTCCAAAGTACTCTATGCATGGAATAAACGCAGGATGCAACAAGATCTGTAAGATTTACATTTGACAAGAGAACACGACTTCCGTACACCAAGCTTGGTAACTTCAAGATTAAAGGGGACAGAATATGCCCCTTGTCATCCAAGTCTAGATTAACGACAGAGTATATCCCCTTTAATCCAAGTCCAGATTAACGACAGAATCTGTTCCCTTCGATCCAAGTCAGATCAACGACAGAATCTGCCCCGTTCAATCCAAGTCCACATTAACGACAGAGTATGTCCTCTTTAATCCAAGTCCAGATTAAGGACAGAATGTGTTACCAGTTTGGAATGAAGAGTATGATAAACCCATCGTATTCTGGAATCGAACCGGGTGCGTGTTGTGAGAAGCAAACACTTTATCCACTGGGCTACCCAACCAACCCAACAGTATATAATGATTACTGTGTTCCAGGTGTGGTGGGAGACTGGAAGAACATGTTCACCGTGGCCCAGAGTGAGGTGTTTGACAGGCTGCTAACACACAACATGGCGGGCTCGGAGCTCGTTAGGAGATACATCACTAAACCCTCTTCTTGAGGGTCTAATACCTACATGGACTTTGTTAGTTTCTATCTGTCTATATTAAGGAAAGTTCCATTCTCTAATACAGTATTGGCGGCTAAAGATTTTTCTTGTTGGTAATCCCCATTAGACTTATTGAGGGACGAATGGTACATAGCTAAGACGTTGGAATGTATACATTTTGAGTCTATGAATTATGAAGCAATGTTTCATTTTTGCTTACCTCACGCAAAACTTCAGTTTCAGAAACCTGTTAGACCTTCCAAATACAAGAATAATTCCTTAGGATTTGTATGTTTACAGTGTTTGGGTGGTGCTGGGTGATATAGGGTTAGTTGGGGTGCAACAAGCCTCGTGTGTTGGTCACGAGGTACACGTTGAAATTATACCCTCGATCCAGGTTTGACAGCGATAATGACTGCTGTGAGACCCGACTTCTCATGGGAAATCTATCCTCATTTAACCTGGGATCCATAAAACAATACGGACGGTAAAGAAGAATTGCGTTTAGAGAGTATATGGATGACTCTTGAAAGACATCTCAGGATTGGATCTGAGCAGTTGACTCTGTACAACAATTTAGTATACAAAGTCAACGTCAACGAATATGCAGTCTCTGTAATTCACGTAAAAGGTAAAACGGCAATTAAAATTATATATTGAGTGAGTATGGTTTTACGCCGAATTAGCAATATTGCGGCAGTATCATGGCGGGGGACACCAGATATAGAAGTACATGTATAGGAATGGGTCACTGAAAAGCAGCGACGACTCCAAGAGTCCTGTCTAACATTCACCATTCACAAACTTGTAAAACTAGGAGAGCTCGTTGTCTGACACCGTGAAGCAGAACTCCTGTCATGTGACCGCGGTCTATAATAACGAAACAGTTAAGTGATGGACCAGAAAGTTCAGCTGGTTTTGTTGAAACCAGAAGCGAGATGTAAATTTTGAATTACGTCTGCTGTATACAAGTGCAGAAATCTGCCGAAACAGTATCCACCTGAACGGAATTAAAAAGAGAAGTCAATTGAATAATGTTCAGTTCTGAAATTTTGAATTCTCTTGAGTTTAGGAACTTGTCACTGGAAATATAGGTTTGTGATTTGCTTCGAATATGCAACACGCTCCAGCATCAACAGACCAGTGTTCTAATCTGAACTGAGGAATCACATGGTCTGAAGGCACCACCATCGCCGGAGACACACTCAGTTCGCCAGAGGTAGAATAGAAAAACATAATCTAATTTATTGCTCTAAAGGCAGGTAAGTCTTAATGCATTAAGTACAACATGAGCACAAGGGCTAAGCTACTGACCTATGTCCCCAGCACATGTGTGCATTATCTGAACAATTTTTGTGTGTAATTCTAAATGGGATCTGCAACAATACAGAGGCCTGTAGGGAAAAAAACCTCGATTAACAATTTCCTTAGCGTATTTCGTAATGCCCACAGCTGGACGTTTGCTGATAGCGGGCTGTAACAACATTCACTCGCTCCGTACAGCTGGCTCATCTAACAACAGTGAACTCTTATGTCTACTTTCATATACTCAACAAAATATAAAAGTTGACCCCCGCATTATTGACAATAACTGTGAGGGTTAATACGTTTACTTTCTGGCTGTGTACTACGTACGGCAATGAAATGTAGGCTGTTTGGGCAGAATCTTGGCGACCGACGTGAAAAATGTGATCATTAGCGTGACAAAAAGCTTGAAATATAACAATCAAGCGTGTTAAATATTCACCTTATCGATCGCACTTGGATTGAAATGCAACCACACAGACATTGTTGAACAGGAAAATGAGAATTGAGAGTTTGATATATTTATAAAACCCGCGACTCAGCAACGGCCACAACCCACATTTCTACCTCCAAGGTCCCCCCAACCCAAAACATGCCCCACGCCATGCGTCCCTGTTCTGCTGCAATAACACGGCAAGCTCGTCGTTTACTTGGCTTTCCCAGTGAAGATCCGTAGAAACGATATTCAGGAATCATTGTTTCTCTCCCCATGTGAAGAACCGGGTTAGAACTGATCTTCTGAAACAAATCCTTGTCTGCCCACGTGAAGATCCGGGTTAAAACTGATCTTCTGAAACAAATCCTTGTCTGCCCACGTGAAGATCCGGGTTAACACTGATCTTCTGAAACAAAGCCATGTCTGCCCACGTGAAGATCCGGGTTAAAGCCGATCTTCTGAAACAAATCCTTGTCTGCCCACGTGAAGATCCGGGTTAAAACTGATCTTCTGAAACAAATCCTTGTCTGCCCACGTGAAGATCCGGGTTAAAACTGATCCTCTGAAACAAATCCTTGTCTGCCCACGTGAAGATCCGGGTTAAAACTGATCTTCTGAAACAAATCCTTGTCTGCCCACGTGAAGAACCGAGTTAGGACTGATCTTCTGAAACAAATCCTTGTCTGCCCACGTGAAGATCCGGGCTAAAGCTGATCTTCTGAAACAAATCCTTGTCTGCCCACGTGAAGATCCGGGCTAAAGCTGATCCTCTGAAACAAATCCTTGTCTGCCCACGTGAAGATCCGGGCTAAAACTGATCTTCTGAAACAAATCCTTCTGAAACAAAGTCTGCCCACGTGAAGATCCGGGTTAAAACTGATCTTCTGAAACAAATCCTTGTCTGCCCACGTGAAGATCCGGGTTAAAGCTGATCTTCTGAAACACATCCTTGTCTGCCCACGTGAAGATCCGGGTTAAAACTGATCTTCTGAAACAAATCCTTGTCTGCCCACATGAAGATCCGGGTTAAAGCTGATCTTCTGAAACAAATCCTTGTCTGCCCACGTGAAGATCCGGGTTAAAGCTAATCTTCTGAAACAAATCCTTGTCTGCCCACGTGAAAATTTGGGTGAGTTGTCTGTGTTATGAGCTGATGTTATGATTGAAAATCTTGCCATTACACTCAGATTACGTCAGCTATATAATTATGATAGCGGCAAGTATTAATCTACGGCAGACAGGTTGTAAACGACATTGAACAACATTGTCGGGGATCTGTTCCGTCCCCGTGTCGTCAAGAGAGGTAATCATGGTCACCGGACTGGATTGTACAAATCATTAACCACGTTTTGAAAGTACACCTGGTCTGGTCAGCATCGGACAAACATGGCGTAACCATGGACTGACTGACTGAGTATGGTTTTACGCCGCTTTTAGCAATATTCCAGCAACATCACGGCGGGGGACACCAGAAATGGGCTTCACACATTGTGCCCATGTGGGGATTCGAACCCGGGTCTTTGGCGTGACGAGCCAACGCTTTAACCACTAGGCTACCCCATCGCCCCGCGTAACCATGGGGAGATTTTGGGGTTGTTTTGTTGTTTTATGCCGCACTCGGCAATATTTCAGCTATATGGCGGCGGTCTGTAAATATTCGAGTCTGGACCAGAGAATCAAGTGATCAACAGCATGTGCATGTGTATGTGTGTAATTTATGTACTTAGTAAGATAAACACCCCACCCCCAACCCCAGCGTGTCGTGTTCAAATCAATGACCACCCCCCTTCCCACAATTTATAAGCACATTATTTTAATAATACTGTTATGTACAAACTTGATGACCCCCTCCCCTACCTTCCGAGAACAAAATGGGTGCCCCCCTAAAATCATCATCAACATCTCCCACCACCCCCATCCCAACCCGGATATAAAAAAAATATAAAACACATCTCAAAACATCCGCCTACGACAATGAGATGATACAGACCGATTCCATGACAACAAAGGGTAGTAACGTTGACAACATCGCACTAAACTTGAACCCTTAATGATACAACGGGTTTTGCTTAACCACTCGCTGTATTGACCAGAACAGTCTGGGTAGCGTCGTTAAACTCGTGTTGTTTATACCTCCGGGGACTGATTAGATACTGCTGGGGTTGTATGTCGCTCTCCCAGGGTGCATTGGGTGTCTATCAGCGTTATCAAGACGTGACAAGTGACATGCATTTTTAACTCAGTGCTTGATGTCTCTGTCCTACCGATCCAGGACGCCCTCGTACAGCCAAAGGGTTGATTCATACTGATAGGTAAAAGAAAGAATACATCGACAATCAAACAAGTTTGTAAAGTTACTCTGTCCGTCAATGAGTCTGAAGCAAACAGAAATGGTTATTTAAGAATTGAATGTCACTTTGTGTGTTTGCACTGAAAAATGAACGATGTCAAAGCGTTGTTCAAACTCGTGTGAACGAGCGAGTTTACGAGCATGTGATATGATGATGATGATGATGATGATGATGATGATGCTGATGATAGCTAACTAAATCTATGGAGTATCTCTAAGTCATCGTAGCTGTGATGATACATATATATTGACGGTTAATTAGTATTGAGGATATGGATTAGTTTGGGTTTAGAGATTGGCCATTATTGTGTGTTTTGTTTGTTAGTTGTTTAACACCGCAGTCAGCAATGTTCGAGTTATAAGGCAGCCATTGGCCATCATTGTAATAGGGTACGTGAAATATCTTGACAAACAGACATGGAATCATGATGTTATTGTTTTGGGTTGGAGCAAAACAAACACCTCATAAACTTAAAGGCGAGAATTTATGGATGTCAAGTTCTTATTTTGACGAACACGAGTATATTGTTACTCCTTCATCAGATGAATACTCAGAAACGCCGTGATCCTCGAAATGAGCGGTCTGTGTATCACTTCTAAATGCCTTCACACAACTCACGTTCCTTGTTGAGACTTGTGTACGCCGTACGGATGTTCATAATCAGACGTCTCAATACAAACTGTATTACACAGCCACACACTAATATTGAAACGAAAATCGTTAAGATGGTCAACTTTAATTCCGAAAATATGAACATTTCTAAAGCCATCTGCAGCACGGGATAAGCAGCAGTGACCTTTGTGGTCTTCAACGTGAAAGATTTTCACAAGTTGTTTGACCTGAGATCAGATCCACAGGTTGGTTGCTATTGTCCAGTGGCACAGTCTCTCGTCAAAAGAGAGAGTGAGTGAGTGAGTGCCGGAGGGAGGTTTTACGCCGCTTTAGCTATTTTCTAGTAATATCGCTGCGGGAACCCCAGAAATGTGCTCCGCACCATTGGGGAATCGAACACAGAACTTCAGCGTGACGGGCGGACGCTTTAACCATTAAGCTGCCCTACTGCCCCTCAAAAGAAAAAAGAAAAAAGGAAAACCCATTTCCAATTTTCATTTGGCGAATAAATTAACCTTACGGACACCTGAGATAGTAACGTTTATACAAGTACCATTATAAGTGTATGCAGTGGTTTC